ACCTGAAACATCGTTCAGTTATCCAGTAAACATTCTGTGTAAGACTCTTTTCTTAAGCTGCAAAAAGATTTCTTATCTAACCTCTGTTTACACACACACCACACACAACACACACTCACACACCACACACACACACCACACTCACACACCACACACACACACACACACACACACACACAACACACACACACACCACACACACACACTCACACACCACACACACACACACACCACACACACACACACACAACAACAACCCACACATAAAAATTACACCGAGAAAGAGGACGCGAGTATTTTCTTTTCTTAATTTTAAAATATTTCTGATTTTCTTCTCTCGTCTCCGTCTCTTCCTCTGCGTGTTCTGTCGTCAATATTTCTCCTTCCCGTCTGCCTATGTTCTCATTACGGCAGAGGAGACAAGAAATGGGGAGAGTTAAGTGATTGAGAGATTACCTCTCAGTTTGTGTTGTGTGTGGTGTGTGTGTGGTGGGGGTGTGTGTGGTGGGTGTGCACTTGAATAGAGGAGAATGAGAGAAAGAGAGGAGAGGAGAGAGAGAGAGGAGGAGAGAGGGAGAGAGCGAGAGAGAGAGAGATTATCCTGGTATTGAATACTTATTAATCTCTCTGCCTTAAAGTCTCTCGAGGTACTTGCCAGGTCTGGTGGTGTTATTCGCCAGGTACTCACCAGGTCTGGTAGTATTATTCTCCAGGTACTCGACAAGTCTCGTGGTGCTATTCGCCAGGTACTCGCCAGGTCTGGTGGGGTAGTATGGTACCACGGACCTGTGCCCTGCCTTAGGAAATCCTCGTTATGTTAGCATAAGCTGGGAGAACCTGACTCCCAGGAAGCTGACTCAGGCTTGACGGTGCCAGCTCAGGCTTATGAAGGAAGACTCGGGAAGCTTACTCCAGCTTAATGTTGCTATTAAACTTGTTTGGGAAGATGCAGGAAGCTTAGTCCAGCTTAATGTTGCTAGTAAGCTTGTGTGGGAAGACTCAGGAAAGATATCCAGCCTTAATGTTGTAGTAAGCTTGGGTGGGAAAAGACTCAGGAAGCTATTGTATAGCTTAATGTTGCTAGTAAGCTTAGTGGGAAAAATAGAAAGCTAGTCAGCTTAATGTGTAGTAAGCTTTGGTGGGAAGACTCAGGAAGCTTAGTCCAGCTTAATGTTGCTAGTAAGCTTGTGTGGGAAGACTCAGAAAGCTTAGTCCAGCTAAATGTTGCTAGTAAGCTTGTGGGGGAAGACTCAGGAAGCTTAGTCACATTAATGTTTGTAGTAGCTGTGCGGGGAAGATCATGGATGCTTAGTCCTCCTTTAATGTTGCTAGTAAGCTTGTGTGGGGAAGACTTCAGGATGCTTAGTATAGGCTTAATGTTGCTAGTAAGCTTGTGTTGGAAGACCTCAGGGTAGCTTACGTCCAGTTATTGTTGCTAGTAAGCTTATATGGGAAGACTCAGAAAGCTTAGTCCAGCTTAATGTTGCTAGTAAGCTTGTGTGGGAAGACTCAGGAAGCTTTGTCCAGCTTAATGTTGCTAGTAAGCTTGTGTGAGGAAGAATTCTCGAAATGCTTAGTCCAGCTAAATGTTGTCTAGTAAGCTTGTGGGGGAAGATCAGGAAGCTTAGGCACCCTTAAGTTGCTAGTAAGCTTGTGTGGGAAGACTCAGGAAGCTTAGTATAGCTTAATGTTGCTAGTAAGCTTGTGTGGGAAGACTCAGGAAGCTTAGTCCAGCTTATTGTTGCTAGTAAGCTTATATGGGAAGACTCAGAAAGCTTAGTCCAGCTTAATGTTGCTAGTAAGCTTGTGTGGGAAGACTCAGGAAGCTTAGTCCAGCTTAATGTTGCTAGTAAGCTTGTGTGGGAAGACTCAGAAAGCTTAGTCCAGCTTAATGTTGCTAGTAAGCTTGTGGGGGAAGACTCAGGAAGCTTAGTCCACCTTAAAGTTGCTAGTAAGCTTGTGGGGGAAGACTCAGGAAGCTTAGTCCACCTTAATGTTGCTAGTAAGCTTGTGGGGGAAGACTCAGGAAGCTTAGACCACCTTAATGTTGCTAGCAAGCTTGTGCGGGAAGACTCAGGAAGCTTAGTCCACCCTTTATCCCTTTAACCCTTTATCCCTTTAATGTTGCTAGTAAGCTTGTGTGGGAAGACTCAGGAAGCTTAGTATAGCTTAATGTTGCTAGTAAGCTTATGTGGGAAGACTCAGAAAGCTTAGTCCAGCTTAATGTTGCTTGTATGTTGGTGCGGAAGACCCTGAAGCTTAGTATTGCTGTAATGTTTAGTAAGCTTGTGTGGGATGACTCAGAATGCTTTGTTCCAGCTTTATGTGGCGAGTAAGTTGTGTGGGAAGAACTCAGGAAAGCTTAGTCACAGATTAATGTTTGCTAGTTAAGCTTGTGTTGGGAAGACGTCAGTAAGCTTAGTCCAGCTTGATTGTGTTGTTAGTAAGCTTTGTGTGGGGAGAATCTGGAAGCTGAGTCCAGCTTAATGTTGATAGTAAGCTTGTGTGGGAAGGCAGAAAGCGTAGTCTAGCTTAATGGTTTTTAGTAAGCTTGTGTGGGAAAGAATCAGGGAAGCTTAGTCCAGTTAATGTTGATAGTAAGTTGTGTAAGAAGGCTTGTAATGCACATATCTCTCTCTCTCCTACATGGTGGTGGTGAGGTTAGTAGAGGTAGTTGGTGGCAGCAGGACGGTGGTTGTGCAGCAGTGGGTGGTGGCAGCATTGCGGTGGTGGCTAGCAGTGGTGGTGGCGCAGTGGTGGTGCAGCAGTGGTGGTGGCAGCCAGTGGTGGTAGGTAGCAGTTTGAGGTGGCAGCGTGGTGGTGGTACAGTGGTGATGGCAGAAGTGGTGGTTGGCAGCTGTGGTGGTGGCAGTGATGGCAGCAGTGATGGCTAGCAGTGGTGGCAGCAGTGGTGGCAGCAGTGATGGGCAGCAGTGATGGCAGCAGTGCAGTAGTGGCGCAGTGATTGGCAGCAGTGATGGCAGCAGTTGTGGCAGGCAGCGTGGTGGCAGCCAGCAGTGAGTGGCAGATAGTTGGTGGCAGCAGTCATGGCAGCAGGTGATGACAGCAGTGTGCAGCAATGATGGCAGCAGTCATGGCAGGCAGTGGTGTAGCAGTGATGGCAGCAGTAGCAGTGATGCAGCAGTCGATGGCAGCAATGATGGCAGCAGTCATGGCAGCAGTGGGTGGTAGCAGTGATGGCGTAGCTAGCCAGGGTTAAGATTGGTCACAAAGTACTGCGGACTGGTTATCTATACAATTAATGACTGATGTAGTGGTCAGCTTAGTACTGCTGACAGTCTAAATATACACTTACTGGATGATTTGTAGCCAGGCTTAAAGTTGGTCACAAGTCTTCTGACAGTCTAAACATATACTTATCTGACGATGTAGGTGCCAGGTTAGTGATTGTGACAAGTCTTACATATACAAATACTGTATGATGTAGTAGCCTGGTTAGCTGGTTTGGTCACAAGTATGCTGCAGTCTAACATTATACACATTACTGTCTGATGTAGTAGCCTGGGCTTAGCTTGGAACACAAGTACTGCTGACAGTCTAACATATACACTTATGATGTTGGTACCTAGCCAAGCTTAGTCTTGGTCACAAGTACTTTTGGACAGTCTACTACATTACAGATTGAGATGTAGTATGTCTGGATCAATCTTAGTTTCAAGTTCTTATGGAAGTTTAGCAGGACAAACAGATAGAATGAATCAACAAAATGCAGATATTTTGACCAGCTTGATGTGACTGTCTTCAACCGTACGTTCTTTATTATACGCTTATTGACCAATATAAAGGTAGCAGGTATAATAACCTTTTTTGACTTGTCAGATATTAATTTGAATTATATTTACATGCTTGCATTACATTAGACATATTATAGCTATTATATCCAGACGTAGTCTGTTTAAACTTATAGGGACTAGTTCCTAGGTCTTTTTGTTTCCATATGATCTTGCGCGCCATTCAGAATAGACACAAGGTTTACAATTAAACTAACCCATTACATCTCCAGGTTAATATTGGGCTGTACAGGGCCAAAAATAGCCACTAACCATTCACAGGATGGATAGGGAGGTGTTACGCAAACTAGCCAATACAATTCACAGGATTGGTTAGGAGGTGTAAGCAAACTAGCCACTACCATTCACGGGTTTGTATTGGAGGTGTACCATAAATTAGTCCATTCAGCCGCAAAAATGGAAGGTAACGGCACTTCGGTTAATACATTATAACTCGCCAAGATACTCAGCATTACGTGACTAAACAAGTGATCAAACAACTGAAATCTTTTTTATTTTTTTGAATGTGTTTAGTGTGTGAATGTTATTGTAGTGGAACGTGAGTGTTGTGAACGTTAGTGTGTGAACGTTAGTGTTGTGAACGTTAGTGTCGTGAATGTTAGTGTATTGAATTGAATGTTCCCCCCGCTGCCCCCCGTTTAGTGAACGTTGTGAACGTAGTGTATGTGACCGTTAGTGATGTGAATGTTAGTGTGAGAATGTTAGTGTGTGAATGTTAGTGTGTGAATGTTAGTGTGTGAATGTTAGTGTGTGAATGTTAGTGTGTGAATGTTAGTGTGTGAATGTTAGTGTGTGAACGTTAGTGTGGGATTGTTAGTGTGTGAACGTTAGTGTGTGAACGTTAGTGTGGGAATTTCTAGTGTCGTGAAACGTTAGTTGTGTGAACGTTAGTTTTGGTTGTGAATGTTAGGAAGTGAATGCTAGTGTGTGAATGTTAGTGGAGTGAATGTTAGTGTGTGAATGTTAGTGAGGTGAATGTTTAGTGTGTGGGACGTTGTGTGTGAACGTTAGTGTTGTGAAGTTAGTGTGTGAATGTTAGTGTGTGAATTTTCGTGTTTTGTGAACGTTAGTGTGTTGAAAACGTTAGTGTGTGAATGTTAGTGAGTGAATGCTAGTGTGTGAATGTTTAGTGAGTGATTGTTAGTGTGTGAATGTTAGGTGGTAGTGAATGTTACTGTCTTTCCTGCTCCTCCCCCCTCCTCTTCCTCATTATCACCTTCCTTCACACCTGTTGCTATCTAAATCAATTCCAACACAAGTCTCCTCACCTTCGTCTCAAATCTCCGCTCTAACTATCAGTTGTCGAGCTCCATAAGGAACATTTATCAAGACAAGATACCTGGAGGTGGTCATGGTGAGAGGGAGAGGTGGTGGAGCAGGTAAGCAGCAGCATGCTACCTCCTTAGCGGTCCAGCGGTGACTGAGTCCCCGGTGGGTACTTGCTATTCACGTCTCGTTCAATGGCTGCCTGGGGGGAAAGATGCGCCGCCTACCCGCATTATCCAGCCAATCACGTGGGGCCTTCCAGCCTGCAACTGACTTCCACGGGGTTTTATATTTGCGTTTGTTGTGACTGGTGACGTTGCGACGTTTGATGTGTGTAAATGATGCTAAGATGTTTGGTAAATCTTACATCAGTGAGGAGGAGACTCCCGTGTCAGGGGAAAGTGAGGGATGAATGTGTTTTATTGGTGGAGTTTGATGGAGTGTGAGTGTTGGCGGGGTCGCACTGGGGTCAGGCCAGGGGATACTCTTGGGCCGCAAGAGTTAAGAGTTGTGATCTGGCCGCATCCAGGTTGGTCGCGTTGCCGCCATCCCTCCCGTCCTCGTGCGTCCGTGGCAGGTAGCACCGCTGGACCCTTCCTATCCTGCTGGAGACCACCGCTGCAGTGAGTGTGGAGGCTTGGAGGGCGAGTGTGGCGGCCAGGGCGGGGATCTCCAAGAATCACAGTCCCCTAAGACCTCTGGCCTCCACCTGCCCTAGCGCTGACCTGCCCTAGCGTTGACCTGCCCTAGCGTTGACCTCATTCCTGGTGTGCAGGGCCCAGTGTGTGTTTTAGTCCAGTAGCTGCGTGGGAGCCTCTGTGTACACACGCTCCATGTGTACCCCTTCCCCCCGCCCTCCATGCGCACGTACACTGGCTCGATGCTACTTACGTACATGCCAGACCCAGTGCCAAAGATTGACCCTCCCCGCCCAGTGATATCAGTGCCACAGGATAAGATCAAACGACCCGAATAGTGATTTGAAATGTCTAGATAAAAAGTTTGGGACCTAAGACCGTAATGACCTCACCTAGCAACGATCAGTGTGAGAGAGATATGCTGGTGTCACAGAAGTGTGAGAGAGATATGTTGGTGTCTCAGAAGTGTGAGAGAGATATGCTGGTGTCTCAGAAGTGTGAGAGAGATATGCTGGTGTCTCAAAGCTTAGTGATGTACAACAATATGGTGTGCCAAGTGGATGCCCACAAGGAGCTTGATCATAGTTCACCTGATGTGACCCAGGCACTGCCGTGTGACACATCTGTGACCCAGCTCTCCTCACCCCTGGCTAGGACCACTCCAGACCAAGTCATTCCTCCAGACCAAGGAATCAAGGTAAGAATTCACCACTAGCGTCTTTCCCTACACTAAAACGGCTGGAAATTACTATGTCGTGCTCCTTCATGAGCGACTCTTAACAATTGTTTGTCTTGTCACTTTTCATGTTCCTTCTAAGAGTCCTGGAGTGAGAGCAAGGAGTGGAAGGTCACAGTCTCCAGGACCACTAAAAGATAAGAGAGGCAGCGGGGATTATAATCTCCAGAACCACTGAGAGAGAGCCTCTGGCGCACAACTCTAGCATGGATCATTTTCTACTGTGGCGTTGAAATCTCCAGGACAAACTTTTCCTCGTCTGAGAGTTGTAGTCTCCTCCACATCATATAAACAATTAAAAAAAAACTTTTTATACACATTATACAGAAAGCAACAACTACAACAAATACTATTTCTTTCAACAAAAACATTATCTTTTCGCGTCTAATCTATAACGTGAATTAAAACATGTCGTAGGCCAAGGAACTGACTACCTTCCCTGTCTAAGATTCAACACCACCAAACACTATCTATGTTGAATTAAGAGTTATTCTCTGGCGAAACGTCTTCAGAAGAAAGATATCCAGGTGTTCCAAAAGATACTTAAGTGTTGCAAAGAGACTAGGATACTTAAGTGTTGCAAATATATCTAAGTACTGTAAAGAGGCCTACGTGTTGCAAAAATATTTTAGTGTTGCAAAGCTACCTAAAATGTTGCAAAGATAAGTAAGTGTTGCATATATATCTCTCATTCATGAACTTGATGAAATAAGAGCAGTGAGAACATGATCAATATGAACAGTGAGAACATGATCAATATGAGCAGTGAGAACATGACAATAGAGCATGAGAACATGATCAATATGAACAGTGAGAACATGATCAATATGAACAGTGAGACATGATCAATATAGCAGTGAGAACATGATCAATATGAACATGAGAACATGATCAATAAGAGCAGTGAGAACATGATCAATATGAGCAGTGAGAACATGATCAATATGAGCAGTGAGAACATGATCAATATGAGCAGTGAGAACATGATCAATATGAACAGTGAGAACATGATCAATATGAGCAGTGAGAACATGATCAATATGAGCAGTGAGAACATGATCAATATGAGCAGTGAGAACATGATCAATATGAGCAGTGAGAACATGATCAATATGAACAGTGAGAACATGATCAATAAGAGCAGTGAGAACATGATCATTTCTCATCATTTCCAATTAACTAACACACAAATGAGAGGGAAAAGCTAGCTGACGTTTCGCTCCTGGACAGCCTGAAACATCGGCCATTCATGATGGTCCAGAATCAAAACGTCGGGTCTTGATGATAGTCAAGGATCGAAAAGTTGGGCCTTCATAATGGTTCAAGACCGAAACTCCGTCTATGTTAATCGTCAATTTAAGCATAAGTTGTGAGGACCCACACTGTAGTGGGGACTCACACAGTTTTGTGGGGACTCACACAGAGTTGTGGGGACCCACACAGTGTTGTGAGGACCCACACTGTAGTGGGGACTCACACAGTTTTGTGGGGACTCACACAGTGTTGTGAGGACCCACACTGTAGTGGGGATTCACACAGTGTTGTGGGGACTCACACAGTGTTGTGGGGACCCACACTGTAGTGGGGACTCACACAGTTTTGTGGGGACTCACACAGTGTTGTGGGGACCCACACAGTGTTGTGGGGACCCACACTGTAGTGGGGACTCACACAGTTTTGTGGGGACTCACACAGTGTTGTGGGGACCCACACAGTGTTGTGGGGACCCACACTGTAGTGGGGACTCACACAATTTTGTGGGGACTCACACAGTGTTGTGGGGACCCACACTGTAGTGGGGACTCACACAGTTTTGTGGGGACTCACACAGTGTTGTTGGGACCCACACTGTAGTGGGAACTCACAGTTTTGTGGGGGCTTACACAGTGTTGTGCGTACCCACACTGTAGTGCGGACTCACACAGTGTTGGGGACCCACACAGTATCGTGGGGACCCACACAGTGTTGTGGGGACCCACACAGGGTAGTGGGGACCCACACAGTTTTGTGGGCACCCACACAGAGTAGTGAGGATCCACACAGAGTAGTGGGGACCCACACAGTGTAGTGGGAACACACACAGTATCGTGGGGACTCACACAGTGTTATGGGCACCCACGCAGTGTTGTGGGGACTCACACAGTGTTGTGGGCTCCCACACAGTATCGTGGGAATTCACACAGTGTTGTGGACACCCACACAGTGTTGTGGGGACCCACACAGTGTTGTGGGGACCCGCATAGTGTTGTGGGCACCCATACAGTGCTGTGGGGACCCACACAGTGTTGTGGGGACCCACACAGTGTTGCGGGCACCCACACAGTGCTGTGGGGAACCACACAGTGTTGTTGGGACCCATACAGTGTTGTGGAACAGTGTTACTGTGTGGGCACCCGCACAGTGTTGTGGACTCCCACACAGTGTTGTGGGCACCCACACAGTGTTGTGGTGACGCACACAGTGTTGTGGACACTCACATAGTGTACTAGGGACCTACACAGTGTAGTGGGGACCCCACACAGTGTTGTGGAAACCCACACGGTATAGTGGGGACTTACACAGTGTTGTGGGAACCCACACATTGTAGTGGGAACCGATACAGTGTAGCAGGAACCCACACAGTGTAATGGAAACCCACACAGTGTAATATACCTCCACAGTGTAGTTGGAACCCACACAGTGTAGCTGAGACCCACACAGTGCACTTGGGACCCACACATTGCAATGGTTACCCATACCGTGTAATGGGGACCCACACCGTGTAATGGGGAACCACACCGTATAATGGAGACGCACATCGTGTAATGAGGACCCTCACCGTGTAATGGGAACCCACGCAATGTAGTATGGACCAACACAGTGTAGTTGGGACCCACAAAGTGTAGTGGGGACCCATACAGTGTAATGGGGACCCACACATTGTAATGGGGACCCACACAGTGTAGTATGGACCCACACAGTGTAGTGGGAACCCATACACTGTAATGGGGACCACATAGTGTAATGGGGACCCATACAGTGTAATAGAGATCCACACAGTGTAGTATGGACCCACACAGTGTAATAAGGACCCACACCGTGTAATGGGAGCCCACGCAATGTAGTATTGACCCACACAGTGTAACATGGACCCACGCAGTGTAGTATGGACTCACACAGTGTAATAGGGACCCACACCGTGTAATGGGGACCCACGCAGTGTAGTTTGGACCCACACAGTGTAATGGGGACCCACGCAGTGTAGTATGGACCCACACCGTGTAATGTGTATGTGATGTTACACTGTCATATATCATGTTACACTGTCATATATCATGGTACACTGTCATATATCATGTTACAATGTCATATATCATGGTACACTGTCATATATCGTGTTACACTGTCATATATCATGTTACACTGTCATATATTATGTTACACTGTCATATATCATGGTACACTGTCATATATCATGGTACACTGTCATATATCATGTTACACTGTCATATATCATGATACACTGTCATATATCATGTTACACTGTCATATATCATGGTACGCTGTCATTTATTATGGTAAACTGTCATATATCATGGTACACTGTCATTTATCATGGTAAACTGTCATATGTCGTGTTACACTGTCATATATCATGTTACACTGTCATATATCATGTTACAAAACGGTCATTATCATGTTACAAACGTCATATATCATGTTACACTGTCATATATCATGTTACACTGTCGTAAATCATGTTACACTGTCATATATCATGTTACACTGTCATATATCATGGTACACTGTCATATATCATGTTACACTGTCATATATCATGTTACACTGTCATATATCATGTTACACTGTCATATATCATGTTACACTGTCGTATATCATGTTACACTGTCATATATCATGTTACACGGTCATATATCATGTTACACGGTCATATATCATGTTACATGTCCATATATCATGTTACACTGTCATATATCATGTTACACTGTCAGTAATCATGTTACACTGTCATATATCATGTTACACTGTCATATATCATGTACACTGTCATATATCATGTTAAAACTGTCATATATCATGTTACACTGTCGTATATCATGTTACACTGTCATATATCATGTTACACGGTCATATATCATGTTACACTGTCATATATCATGTTACATTGTCATATATCATGTTACACTGTCATATATCATGTTACACTGTCATATATCATGTTACACTGTCATATATCATGTTACACTGTCATATATCATGTTACACTGTCATATATCATGTTACACTGTCATATATCATGTTACACTGTCATATATCATGTTACACTGTCATATATCATGTTACAACTGTCATATATCATGTTACTCGTCATATATCATGTTACATGTCATATATCATGTTACACTGTCATATATCATGTTACACTGTCATATATCATGTTACTCTGTCATATATCATGTTACACTGTCATATATCATGTTACACTGTCATATATCATGTTACACTATCATATATCATGTTACACTGTCATATATCATGTTTCACGGTCATATATCGTGTTCTTGTTCCTGTTCTTGGATCTTTCTTAGTCTTGTTATTGTTCTTATTGTTGTTGTTACGTCTTTCTTATTCTTGTCATTGTTTTCCTGTCCTTTTTCTTGTTCTTGGAAAGATGTTTTTAGTTGTACGTTCATTTTCTTGTTGTTGTTGTCAGGTGTGTGTGATGCTACATACAAACCTGGACAAGCTGCAGGATTGGACTGAGAAGTGGTTATTAGAGCCCAACCTCAGTAATTGCAAGGTTATGAAACTTGGGGTGAGTTACAAGAAGACCAGTAATGGAGTACAGTCTAGGGGGGGGGACAAAGACTGAAGACGTCAGTGAAGGTTAAAGATCCAGGGGTGAGAAGAGTGCCTGGTACATCACCACAGAGACTTGCAACAACACAGTTACCTCTGCA